AGACTCGAAAACTATCTAAATGGACTCTAAAAGCACGAACAATATACGACTTATCAAACTCGTCCAATATAGACCAGTGCTTGTCCTCAAGCATTGAAACATGGAACACAAAAAGAGTAAGATAGTCCCTCAAACAAGACAATCAACGACAATCAACAGCTAAATAAACATGCTTCACCCCATAATACATTTTAAAATACCAATCTCGAAATCGAAATTGGACACGCAAGCATCTTAGCCAACCAATCACCTCATTCAGACTATCAATCAACTTGAATGACTATCAAACAGAGTCAACCATGCACACATAAGGAATCGATGACTAGAATATCTCACTTAGTGGTCACTCTTCACAATTTCATGTGGCGAGCTAAAAATAAGCCCGATATCTCTCCATCCCCACTAATAATGATAACCCCCCTTTTCTCACACCAACACCTCAAAAACCCCCACTAGCTAGGCCACCCTAATCTACCTCCCTGAAATTGCAACCTCCTTAAAAACATAACCCCAAACTCCTGATCACCATCCCAAAAATCCTTACCTGATCTTCCTCAAGTCCTACTACCCACCTCAATAACCTAAACCACCACCCTGAATATTCCCACCCACCCAAAAAAAAAGCCTAATCATAAAATCAAGGATATTATAATCTAACCTAAAGTTTTACCAGTGGTAAAAGAGGAGGCAGCGACCAGCGGCAGATCCAATGTCGAATATCATTTAAAGGATGGAGGAATGGTGTGGGTTTGGATTTCCATACTAGGTGGGCATATTTAGGGTGGTGGTATAAATTTTCGAGGTGGTGAGGTGTTTTTGGAGTGGTGGTCTTGTTTTTGGGACGGGGTGTGTAATTACGAGGTGGTCAGGGGCAGAAGTCAAGGAGGTTCAGGGGTTCGAGGGTAGTGGGTGGGGGTTTGAGATTTTTTGCATTGGGTGGTGGCCAGGTTTTTCGAGGTGCGTAGGGGTTCTCGAGGTGGTGGTGTTGGTTTCCGAGATGGTAGTGGTGGCTTAGGTGGTGGGGCTTGGTGATAGTGTAGTGTTAATTAAGGAGTGGGTTAGTAATTTACCTAAAGGATAATTAAGTTAGAGTCTAATTACTGTAGGCTTTTAATGATGGGTTAACCACAGAAGGCCTATATATGAGCAAGGTCATTGTATAGGAGAACACTTTATATAAGAAAAAATTTTCTCTACCACCCTATAGAATTTTTAAAAGTTGAAGCATACAGAATTCAATTAAGAAAATGTAACTTTAGCTTAGTAACAATAATTTAAGTTTAACAAAAAAAAAAAATTCATTTCAGTAAAATATTTATTTATCAATAAGTTTTTATTCCCTTCACCTTATTTTTGCTAAACAAAAAAGTATTTTTCAACTGACTAATTTAATTTTACTAATTAAAATTTATTTTTATTGATTCACGTACTATTATATTTGTTCTTTGAAGTTATTGACTTTTACTAATTAAAAGTTATATATTTTTTACTACACTGAATTTAGTTACTAAACTGAAATTATATTCAACCAACATTATTATAGTAAAGATGAAAGAGAACAGGGCATAACTTTTAGAAGAAAATAACAAGCAATCAATATAAATAAATTTACGTCAGTAAAAATAATTCAATAATCGAAAATAAGCAAAAATAGTGTAATTTCAGTTAAAAAAAATAGTTTAGTCGTTTCAACAAAAATAAGGTGAAAAGAACATGACTTTATTCTACCAATATATTGAAAAAAATAATTTTAGCCTTTTTCTTACTTCACTTGATTTATTTCCAAATAATTACAAATGTAATTATATTATCCACCTACCTTCCTAAATATATATTTGTGAATTGTATCTTTATTGATTGGTTATTAATTACCTTTAACCATTATTATTTCCCCTCATTTTTTATATCCACTTTCTTTATTTACCCTTTGAAAGAAATCTACCAATTCTTTAATTTTCATAATAAAACTAGATTAAAATGTCGTGCAATGTTGCACCGTTGTTAAATATTTTTCACAATAATATAACAAAATACAAAGTATATAAAAGATATTCAAAAATATTTCATTTGGGTATATATGGAATATGATTGTCAATTAATCTGGAAAGAAAATACATAAGGTATAAATAGTTTGCTTAAAGATTTTGCGAAAAAAAAGAGAAGCGAAAAAGGCGTGAAAATTTTTCACAAGGTAATTGTTGAGTAATTAGGTTTTGATGATTGTAAAATAATGATGATTATCATATAATGTGTATGTTAAGTTGTGCATAGAAAGAATAAGTTATGATTGAAACAAGATATAAGGAACCCGAGCAATGACAAGTATATATATACAAGGAATTTGAGCAATATAGGATAAGAAATAGAGGAACAAGAACAATGATGAGTGTTATGGTTGATTATTATGATGATGGATAAATAACCATGAAGGTAATTGTAGACACCTAAAAATGTCTCCCCAAAACTAAACCAAACCCGATGATGAACAACCTTTTACCGCATTATTGGTCGGGTTGAGTCTTTAATCTTTGGAGTGCTTAAATCCATATTCAAATCCATATTTTCATAAACCAACCCAATTCCTACCCATTTCCCCAAACCATAACTTATTTTCCTCTTTTCGTACCTTTAAACCCAAAATAATTCATTTTGTATCCTTTAAAATCATTCATTTCGTGTCCTTTTTATAAAAACGTTTATTCCAGTTTATTTTGGTTCATAATATGGGTCCATTGATTGAATAATTGTATGGGTATTTAAAAGAGCTTTCCAACGATATATTATAAGCCCAAATCCGAATTATAACGAATAAGTTATGGCCAAAATATTAAACTAGCCCAAACCGAACCTAAGGTCACCTTACCTACGACCCAATGATCATGTGGAGGGTCCAAATTATTTAATCCCATTCCTAAACCAATTAGGATTAATTAGAAGCTTCTATAAGTTTCTAAAAGATCTTCATTATCATTTTTGAAAAGATAAGATTAAATAGTTTGAAATTGAATAAAACTCCTTTTTTTGAAAATCCTATTTCTATCTGAATTGAAAGACGTTCAAAGATAGACAGATATTATTTTCGTGCCTAATATTTTTTATCCTAATTTTATATGGTTGGATAGCCCTTGAAATTATCTTTCTAATTATATATTATAATATCAATTTCGAGCTATAACGGAAAAGATATGAATAAAATGTCAAACTCTATCCAAAACTGACACTGTCTCACTATTTCGGCTATATCTTTTGTTATACAATATATTTTAATTTGATTCAAATTGGGTTAGAAAGTAGCTTCAAAATATTTCCAACGATATCTTATTTATCTTATTCCGATTTCTGGATCAAAAGATACACTAGTGGAAAAAACGTCATCCGTAACGGGCAAAAAGGGGCCATCCATAACGGGCAGCGTCCGTTACGTATGCGGCCGTTACGGATGGCCATTGTTATTCGTAACGGGCACTGTCCATTACGAACAATGAGTTATTCGTAACGAACATTTCAAATGTCCGTTACGAATAATGAAATGTCCGTTACGAATAACTCATTATTCGTAACGGACATATGAAATGTCAGTTACGAATAAATCCTTTTTTGTATTAAAATAAGTCCTTATTCGTAACGGGCACCTAAAATGCCCGTTACGAATAAGTGATTATTCGTAACTGACATCTTAAATGTCCGTTACGAATAAAGTTTTATTGTATATAATTTAACACTTATTTGTAACGGGAAACAAAAATGCCCGTTACGAATAACTGGTTATTTGTAACTGACAATTCTGCTGCCCGTTACAAATAATTATTAAATTAAATTTTCATTTTATTTAATTTCGACATCATGTATTTATATATAATTAATATATATTAATTAAAACCTGTTATAATATACATGTTCCTGTAAATAAGCAATTATACCGAACAATCTTTCGTAAAAATTAATACGACGTAATATAAAAACTGAAGTAGTAACACATTACAAATAAAAACTTGTATAAATTTATCCAACATATACAACAACACTAAAAATATTATGTTGTTCTACCTAAGCTAATAGTTATGCATTCAATAAATATTTACTTCTAAAGTATTGCGCCCATTGTTCTCGAACCACATTCAACTCGTCAACATCATACGGGGCGGTCCTTGGACAAAAATCCTATTGAAAAAAAAAATATATGAAAGAGGTTACAAAATAAAAACAATCCATAATAAAAACAATCATTAGAATAAATGTGATGAACCAAATTATAGAAATAAAACTCATAATATAGAAACAAAACATATAACATCCTTAATTGACTTATATTTTGATTTCTATGAGTTGAAATCAATAAAAAGTTAACATTTACTCACTTTTGGGAGCGTATAGAGCCAAAAAGGCTTCAAAATTGTGCTAAAGGACTTCTATCTTTCCCATCTTTCAAGTATTGGTTCAAATTAACACAATGTAACACATAACATCCTAATCACCTTATGTTTTGGTTTCTATGAATTGAAATCAATAAAAATTGACCATTATCTCACTCTTGGGAGCGTATAGAGCCAAAAACGCTTCAAAATTGCCTAAGGGACTTCTACCTTTCCCATCTTTCAAGTATTTGTTCAAATTAACACAATATAACACTAAACATCCTTAATTACCTTATATTTTGGTTTTTATGAATTGAAATCAATAACAATTGACCATTATCTTACTCTTGGAAGCATATAGAGCTAAAAAGGTTTCAAAATTTGCAAAAAAAAAACTACTAACCTCTTCTAAGACACCTTTGCACTCCAAGTGAGAAGTAACAATCTCATACATGTATCTCATAATGTAGTAGCCACATTCAACGTCTCCTTGTTGTTGAGCACACTAGTATATATAACAAATAGTTAAAATTTTTGTTTTCAAAGTGAACAATGTATAACAATATGGGGTGAGTAGTGTATTTACCTCCATTTGTATGAATTTCAATTTTTGCCTTTGTGATTTCAATTCACTCCCTGTGAGATTCGCCCGATATACTTTATAAGCCCTACAAAAATAATATATATTCTAACACTTAGAACAAAATAATCTACAACACCACATACAAAAATGATATAGAAACTAGGGCATAATTTCAAGGTTGTGGCTCACGTCATCATAATCTCGGCAATTTTCAATTTTCGTGGATTTTCTTTAGGTAGCTTCATAGAGTCAAACTCATAAGCTAAACCTAATTGTAGATCAACCACCACAAGAACCCAATGACCACTACATCATTTAAGAGGAAAACACAAGTTAGAGTATTGGAAAATTGGTGAAAAACATATCATTTATATGATTAAGTTTAGTGGCAATATAAAAAACATATTTCGAACCTTGCGACATATGGAGCCACAATGAATTTGTAACGTTTACCCGTCTTTCTTACTTCATGCAAAAATGTATTCTTCACATATGTATAAGTTTCAAGGTAATCATTCTCAATTGCAGATTCAGAAATGAGTTGAGGACAAAAGAATGTGATCTCAGTCCTGTTGAAAAGGTCGATGAAGTTGTCTACTAAATACCTACATGACAAAGACATAGAAAACAAAAATTTCAGCATTATAGCATTAAAAATATTACTATAGTGAATATAAGAACCAAAGTAAAGGAAGATTAAGTAACCTACATGATATAAACATGAATCAATGAAACAATAGCCCACGATCCTCTTAGAGACACGTACATCGGTAGCGGTTACCCAAATCTGTTTGTCGCTATCAAAATTAAACATTGAGGCCTTTAAAAGTACCAATATTGTATCATACTTTGCACCATCATAATTCATTAACCAATACAACAACTCACAACCCTCGCCAAAAGTATCGACAATTTTATCTTCAAGTGGTAGGAATTTTGTGGGTTTGATGGTAGATTGCCTTGATTTCACACCACAACTATCGTCCCCTTCTTTGCTTTGGCGAGATCCATGCTTCTTTTTGGGCGATGGTGAAACCTTTACAAATAGGTGAATATTAGTCTAGATAAAGTATACAAAAATGATGGGATTTAATGTTTATAGTAAGAGAATATACCTCTTCTAAAAAAAAAACCATGTCTATAGGCCATAGTACAAAGGAAGACTTGGCTTTTCCCAACTTAGTCACACCATCGGGAGACGGTACCGATATATCGAGGAGGGCACAGTCGGGATAAGGGTTGTCCACACTAACCATGTAATGAACAGGTAACATCTTCAGGTTGTGAGTAACTTCACCGGTAACAGGATATACCGTTCCATCTGCCACAACCACTAAATTTTGATTGTACTCATCTTTCAATGCTAGGCGACATTTAGTGGCTACCTACATATTACAAAAAACTCGATCAATATTATACATGTTAACCATGTAAAGTCATATCTTTAGTATTAGTTAAAGACATATACCTCTATTACACGAGGGCTTTGTGTTGCCTCCATGTTCGTCATCACTTGCATTCCTTGAAATGCCTCCACGTCACCGGTCATCTGTGGTAGTAAATTGGCGAGATAAGCTTTCACCTCCATTGCCACCCTTTGTTCCAACCTCTCTTCGATCCTCTCTTCAATCCTCTCTTGAAGCTTCTCTTCAACCTTTTCTTCTAGCCTCGCCTCAAATTCTTGAGTTAGGGTAGCTTTCATTGATTCTAACTCTTCTAATGAGCATCCACCTTTGCCGGATGATTTACCCTTTTTGTATCCCTTCCCAAATACTTGTGTGTGACTAACTCCAACCCCACACCTTCTTAGTGCTTTTACATGCCCGCGGTGATCCCTTTTTCCTAAAGCCTTGTCGAGGGCATCCATACCAATACCATCACTTGAATTGTTTCCTTCATCATTCTTTTGCAAGTTTTCCAACTATTAAAAAAACATATATAAGATATGGCAGAACAAGAACCTGAATTGAAAAAAAATGATATGCATAGATAGACTTGTAGCCTACAGCATATATAGCATAGAAGTGAACAGAACTAATCGGAACTTATCAGAACTGAAATTTCAGAACTGATCGGAACTGAAATTTCAGTGATCGGAACTGATCAGAACTGATCGGAACTGAAATTTCAGAACTGATCGGAAGTGATCGGAACTGAAATTTCAGAACTGATCGGAAGTGATCAGAACTGAAATTTCAGAACTGATCGGAACTGAAATTTCAGAACTGATCAGAACTGAAATTTCAGAACTGATCGGAACTGAAATTTCAGAACTGATCAGAACTGAAATTTCAGAACTGATCGGAACTGAAATTTCAGAACTGATCGGAATTGATCGGAAGTGAAATTTCAGAACTGATTGGAACTAAAATTTCAGAACTGATCGGAACTAAAATTTCAGAACTGATCGGAACTGATCAGAACTGAAATTTCAGAACTGATCGGAACTGAAATTTCAAAACTAATCAAAACTAATCAGAACTGATCAGAACTGAAATTTTAGAACTGATCGGAGCTGAAATTTCAGAAGAGCTTATGACATGATTGCTGGACTTGATTATTTGCACAAAGACAGATACTTACCACTACTATGACATGGTGAGCCACATTCAGATTAGGGACAGAGGGGAACATAGGGAAAACAGAGAATATAGTAGAAGTAAGTAAACAAATAAGGAGAAATAAAGAAGAAGAGTGCAAACAAGAGCCAGGACAGAAAGTAGGGGATAGAAATTATTATATAATAATCTCAATGTATAACACCAATATGAGTGTATAATACAGTCAAGTACAAGCGCAATCTGTATAATATGAAAACATAAACAAAATTGTGCACATGGAAATGGAAATTAATTACACTGTGGGCCTGTTTAAAAATACAATAGCTTGTACAGTAAAGTGCTTATAAAGGACCTTCTTATAACTTTTAGTTTGTAGCCTATTTCTGTTTATCCTTAAGGCAACTTTGCACTCAATCTTCTACTGCCAATATCCTAGATGATAATTCATGCAAGTAAAGAAATTTAGATAATATGTACCCCCATTATGTTCAACAATTGGAAAATTGGTTGTTAAGGCCTTCATCAACTAATTGAGATGGTGAAGGGGTCACAACGGTCACAACAACAACTAAGCAAGAAACAACAATCAGGGCTATCTTAATTGCATAAATTACTTAACCATGCATACAGAAAAAGGCAAGGACAAATTCTGTTGGCTATCTTAATTATTTAATATCATCAGGAGTTCAGCACAACAATTCTGATGAAAAGCAAAATTTAAAACGGAGGTAAGCATCTAAATAACACAACTAGCTCGCTCATTACCCTTACAGTCAGAAGTTCACCATCACCCATTCACCCTTCCAGCTAAATGACATACTAAGTATTGACACCATCACAAATCCACGGGTCCTTGCCTTTTTCTGTATGCATGGTTAACAACAACTAAGCAAGCAACAACTAATCAGAACTGAAATTTCAGAACTGATCGGAACTGTTCAGAACTGATCATAACTGAAATTTCAGAACTGATCAGAACTGATCGGAACTGATCAGAATTGAAATTTCAGAACTGATCGGAACTGATCAGAACTGAAATTTCAGAAATGATCGGAACTGAAATTTCAAAACTGATCGGAACTGATCAGAACTGAAATTTCAGAACTCATCGGAACGGATCAGAACTAATCGGAACTGATCAGAACTGTAATTTCAGAATTGATCGGAACTGATCAGAACTGTAATTTTAGAACTAATCGGAACGGATCAGAACAGATCGGAACTGATTAGAATTAATCGGAAAAGGCCTCAATTTTAGCAAATCCCATTAAACAACGCAGGAAATGAGCAATAAACAAAAAAGGCCTCCCATTAAACAATGCAGGAAATGAGCAATAAACAGAAAAGGCCTGATCACTGATCAGCTAAAAAGTATAAACAAGTAACTGAAAAAAACTATACTTGGTTAATTAGAACAACACTTACAATAGCATTGGCTATTTGCTGGGTTTCGGCATTCTTCGGGTCTATAGCCCACGATCCATCTGCATTACGAGTTTGACGGGCCAAAATCCAATAAAGAGACCGATTTTTAAGCTTTTCACTCATTACACAGCTTGTCGTGGACTCTGTGGTGCTTGAGGTTGAAGATTCTGCTGGAATTCTATTGGTCTTACTCCAATCAAATCGAGCCCTCTCATAACTCTTGGAGCCTAGATGGTGGCGATGCTTATTATTCTTTGCATTTTCCTTGCCTTTTTCACTCAGAGCCTATTACAAAATGGAAAGCTATTGTAAGTAGTATTGTAGTTGAAATAAAGTAATATATATGTGAAAAATACTTTCATAATATCTTACACACCTTAAATTCATCTGTATTGCAATATGTCTCAAACTCTTTCCATTGCTCTTCTGTGATGTAACCTTCATAAAGCTCCCAGGGCTTAATGTTTGCACTTGATGAGTCAGGCGGAGGTGCAATTTCCTTAGTAATGAATCGTGAAACTAACCAAGACTTGTGCTTCCTAAATTTAGCACCAACAGCTTCGTGGAACTTCTTCTCTTTACTACCCTTGGGATCATCAATGTGGAACTTCTGCTACAAAATTAGAGAATGTTAATATTCATAATTAATTATAAGCATCGTTAAATTTAGAGCAATAAACCATATTTATATCGTAATTACCTTACTCTCCTCCCACAAGTTTTGCTTTTGAACTTTATCATACTTCGGATATCCCTTCACATTAATGTTAACTCTTTGAGCACAATTACCAATTTCCTTCCCATAAGCAGATTCCCACTTTCCAGTAGGCATGTCAAACTCATCAAATTCGAGGAACATGGGTGTAGTTGTTTGGACTGCTCTAGACGGGCCTCGTCCCTTTTTTGTAGAAGATTTTACTTGGGAAGTGGAGGCATCCATGTCACCAGATTGTTCCTGTCCATCATGATCATCTATGTTATCTTCCATTGTAGTATGCCTACACCTACACAAAGAATGAAATTAACAAGAATAGAATCAAAATCATAACAATAAAATCATATTAATGTAAATACTACACAATAAAGAAATTAATGATTTAGATATATACCAATTTAATAAATTCAATATTAATTGCAAAAAAATACTATTGTTAAAGGAATACAATAACACAAACCTTGGTTGTAGTTATAGGAACCACTAACCCTTCCTCACGATCATACTCTACATCATCAACAATATCTCCCCCTTCTTGTAGAGGTTGCACTCCCATTGTTATAGGCAGGATGTCATCAAATTGGTCATACTCTTCTTCATCCACAACATCTTCCACACCCACAATTTTTTTCTTGCCTTCAACTACAACACGCATTGCGGATCTATATTATCCTTGATGTAGAATACTTGTTTCGATTGTGAGGCTAATACAAAAGGCTCTTCACCATCAGTATAACGACTAGAGTCAACCAAGGTGAATCCAATTAACTCATCGGTTTTCATACCACGACGGTTATCAGCGCATGTGAAACGAAATATAGGAATTGTGAAATCAACATAATCAACTCCCAGATTTCTTGAATGACACCGTAATATGCCTGTGTAGCTTCAACTGGCCTTGTATCCCTAGAACTTGAGTATTCAGTATAAGATGCAACCACGACAACACCACTATTTTGTTGCACACTTTTTTCATCTTGACGACAAGTGGCAAAAGTAAATCCATTGATATCGTAACCCTCATAAGTATACACAAGTGGTTGTGGACCTCGTGAAAGCCACTTGATCGTTTCAGAAATATTCTCATCTCTACTCAATTCAAGCTTCACTTGGCCTTCAAACCACTCAACAAAGTGGAGATTATGCTCCTGCATCAACGCATAGGAGCTGATCCTGGGATTGTGAATTTTCAACTCATGAAGATGTTTTTCAATATATGGATGAACTGCAGATAGGTTTTGTAGCACAAATCGGTGGGCTTTCTTATATCGATCAAGTGGAGGTTTAACAAATTTTCGACCTACTGTACCCTTTCCTTGAAGTCTTCCTTCGTGACGAGAAGTCGGAATCCCAATTTCTTTAGCCTTAGCTAAAAACACTGAACAATAGTTCCCTGCTTCCTCTGCTATGAACCCTTTCACGATGCTCCCTTCAGGATTTGCTCTATTCTTTGCCTTATCTGCCAAAGTACCCATTTGCCTCTCATAAGGGTACATCCAACGCATAAATACAGGACCACACTCCTTTATCTCACGAGGCAAGTGCATAACAAGGTGAGTCATTATGTCAAAAAAGGAAAGAGGAAAATACATCTCGAATTTGCATAATGTTTCAACAATATCATATTCCATATCATCAAGTGTTTTTGGATCTATCACCTTACTGCAAATTGCATTGAAAAACAAGCAAAGCTTCACAATAGCATGCCTAACATGTTTTTGGCAAAAGGCCTCGGAGTGCAATTGGCATGAACACTTGCATCATCACATGACAATCATGGGACTTCATACCAACAACTTTCTTATCAGTAGTAGAAACAAAACGCCTTATGTTCGACGAATACCCTGTCGGCACCTTGATTCCTTTCAAACACTCACAAAAGATCCTTTTTTCTTTTCTAGACAATGTATAACACGCATGGGGCAAAAATGCTTTTTTCGTTGCTTCATTTTCCTCAGGCCATAACTTAGGTCGAATTTTGGCTTCCTTCATGTCTCTACGCACATTAATACTATCCTTTGTCTTCCCTTTGATATTCAACAAAGTCCCAATTAGTGCCTCACAAACATTTTTTTCAATGTGCATAACATCAAGACAATGTCAAACCGACAAGTGCTTCCAATAAGGCAGATCCCACAACTTAGACACTTTTTTCCACAACACACCCTTCTTCGGTATCTCTCTGTGCATCTTACCGAAGATTTTCTTAACATTTTTAATTTTCTCATACACTTCAATTCCTGTCAATGGCTCACGACTCACTCCCTTCTCAACATGCCCGTTGAATTGTTGTCTCATCTTCCTATATGGGTGATTTCGACGAAGTGATCGTCTGGTATGCATGTACACATTCTTCCCCCAATGCTTCAAGCGTGTAATTTGCATGTCATCCTCACAAATAGGGCATGGTTTTTGTCCTCTGACTTTGTGCCCTGACAAATTTCCATATGCAGGAAAGTCATTTATAGTACAAAACACCATGGCTCTTAATTTGAAATTTGTACCCGAAAGAGCATCAAATGTCACAACACCTTCATCCCACAACAGTTTCAAATCGTCAATAAGGGGCTCCAAATAAACATCTATCTCATGGCCAGGTTGTTTAGGACCTGGGATTAGAAGTGATAACATGATGTACTTGTGCTTCATGCACAACCAAGGAGGTAGGTTGTATATTGACAGAAGAACAGGCCATGCACTATGTTGACTACTAAGAGTGCTAAATGGATTCATCCCATCCGTAATTAATGCCAGTCTTATGTTCCTCGGCTCCTTCCCGAATTCTGGAAATGTCTTGTCAATGTGTTTCCATTGCAACGAATCAGCTGGGTGTCTGATCAACCCATCCTTCTTCCTCTCATTTTCATGCCAAACCAACTTCTTTGCTTCATCCTTAATTGAGAACAGGCGCTTCAACCTTGGTATTATAGGAAGATACCATACTACCTTAGCTGGTGGCCACTTCAAGGGATCCTTATTTAAGCCCTCTCTCTTGTATCGTGACACACCACACTTTGGGCAAGCATCCAATTTTGCATTCTCCTTTCGATGTAGCACACAATCATTAGGACATGCATGGATCTTGGTGTACTCTAAACCCAATGGACACATCAACTTCTTTGCATAGTAAGTCGACTTAGGAATGTCATTTCCTTCTGGAAACATATCAGAGAGGGTTTCCAACAACAAAGTGAAACTAGTGTTGGTCCACCCGCTCTTCGCTTTCAAGTTATATAAAGTTAAAATCCCAGAAAGCTTGGAATACTTAGAACAACCAGGATACAACGGTGTCTCAGCTGCTTTCGACACATTCTCATATATATGAGAATCTTCATTAACATGATCGCCTAACCCGTCTATCATATCTTCTATCCTGTCTTCCTCCATGTCATCATTAAAACCCACTTCATTATCATCAAAACCATTCGGCTCTCTCTCATCAGCTTCATTGTCGTTAATAGAAGAATTATCCGCGGAAGGAAATTTTTCACCATGCCAATACCAAATACTGTAGTCTGGCATAAACCCACGAATAATCAAATGGTCCTCTATTTTCTTAATTTCTTCCCACCTCTTCACATTGTTACAATCACGACAAGGGCAGAAAATAGGTCTTGCTTTGGTTAGCCTTTGTTCAACGAGTGTACTCCATTGGTATTGCACTGCGATTCTACAAAACTCGTTGACCCCGGCTAAGTATTCTGGTGTGGTTCGAGAACCATTATACATCCAACGACGGTCCATTTCTAAAAATGTATGATTAAAACCCAAGAAACAAATTATATTCAACATCACATATCAACACATTCCAAATGCATGATTCCAAAGGTCCTTATCGCTCCAACCTAATCCATCCTTGGAAGTGTATTCTCACTAGAAAATGGTTGACCATTTTTCGGCCCTAAGGAAATTTCGGCAGCATTTTCCTATGGTTCTCAAAGTACACGATGTAATTAATTTCTTAATTACATATTGTAGGTCGTTCGAAGTGCGCCTACGTTAAAAGCATGTGTGAATATACTTGGCACTCATAGGAAGAAGGAATTGACATAATACGATTACGGACAAATAAAGTGGAGAGCCGCCAACAAGTTTTTAAGGAACTTGTAAACCATTCACGGATCATAAAAGGCAACCACGATTAAGGGACAACGATAGGCATTAACGATTGACCCGTGAAGGTTACACCCCATTCATAATCCATGAGATTACTAACTCCATATGGTTCGGAACCACGAAAGGAGGATCGGGGATGATGGTATGAAGTGAGTCATGGAGTCACATTCGCCCGTATTAGCCTCTACTCGATTCTTATAGTGAAAAGTGATTCCTGCGATCTCAAAGGCATACAAAAAATTATTCAATTTGCTCCAATCTATTATTAAGCTAAATTGGTTGAATATTAATGCAACATATAATTCTAAAATAATTGTGATCACTTGAATTAAACAACAAGATTAAAAAGGAACCTAAACGGTTGTCCAAATTATCTTATTAGGCGTAGTTTTCAATTACATATTCCCTTTAAACATGCAATATGGTGATCAATAAAAAATATAATTGAATAAACATTAATATTGAAAGCAATTTAACAATAATAGTGTTAGCCAAATCAAATAATAATAATAACAACCCTAATCATGATACTAGCAATATTAAAAATAAAATAAGAGTAATTAAATTAATTAATTACTCACATTCTGCGCGTTCCTTTAAATTGCTACATCATGAATAAACTGTTAGTAACTTCAATAAAAATATAAATCAAATAAAAATTAAATTAAATTAGAGTTGATTTGGTCCAAACCCTTAGTCAATTATACCTTTCACGCCTTGGTTTAAGTATAGAACTTTGGGTATTGTATGAACTCCTTGGAGTGCTTAATTAGGGAAAGTATTTTGAGAAAATAGGATGGCTAGTATTTAGGCTAAAGAGGGAGAAGAGAATTATTTTATGATCAAGCTTGTTGATTATTGGAAAAGGGGGGATATGACCTCTATTTATAGGGAAAAAAGAGGGTCGAAGAATCAAGAAAAGATCGAGTTCGAATCGGATTAAAACTTTTGCGATAGACAGCAGTTTTTGCGGTTTTTGTTTTTATCATATCTTTTGATCCAGAAATCGGAATAAGATAAATAAGATATCATTGGAAAGATATTGAAGTATACTTTCTAACCCAATTAGAATCAGATTAAAATATTTTGTATAACAAAAGATATAGCCGAAATAGGGAGACGGTGTCAGTTTTGGATAGAGTTTGACATTTTATTCATATCTTTTCCGTTATAGCTCGAAATTGATATTATAATATATTATTGGAAATATAATTTCAAGGGCTATCCAACCATATAAAATTTGGATAAAAACTATGAGGCACAAAAAATAATATCTGTCTATCTTTGAATGTCTTTCAATTCGAATAAAATTAAGACTTTAAAAAAAAAAGGAGTTTTATTCAACTTCAAACTATTTAATCTTATCTTTTCAAAAAGAATAATTACGATCTTTTAGAAACTTATAGAAGCTTCCAATTAATACTAATTGGTTTAGGAATTGGATTAAATAATTTGGACCCTCCACATGATCATTGGGTCGTAGGTAAGGTGGGCTTAGGTTCGGTTTGGGCTCAGTTTAATATTTTGGCCATAACTTATTCGTTATAACTCAGATTTGGGCTTATAATATATCGTTGGAAATATATTTTAAATCCCCATCCAACTGTTCAATCATTGGACCCAGATTATGGACCAAAATAAACTAAAATAAACGTTTTTATAAAAAGGACACGAAATGAATGGTTTTAAAGGACACAAAATGAATTATTTTGGGTTTAAAGGCACGAAAAGAGGAAAATAAGTTATGGTTTGGGGAAATGGGCTAGAAGTTGGGTTGTTTTATGAAATAGAAATATGGATTAAAGCACTCCAATATTAAATACTCAACCCGACCAATAATGGCGGTGAAAGGTTGTTCATCATCGGGTTTGGTTTTGGGGCGACATTTTTAGGTGTCTACCGAAGCACCCACTTCGAATGAGTTTGTAGAAACGTCAGTTTTGAAAACGACAGTCAAAGTAGTCGATAGGAACGGAGAATGATTTAAGACATTCTGCGACTCTAAATCACTCTGTATACGCCGATACCTGCAAAAAATGTTAATTCCACAGATAAAAGTGTAAAGGGATAGAACGCTTATCTGACACCAGTGTATCGGTGACAAACAAGTTTGGTATTTTCCTATGCTTGAAGGAATCCACCGGATGATGTTTGTTGAAATGTTTTCCATGCTTGAGGAAAGCCGACTGACGAGTTTGGTAGCTTTCTAAGCCTGAAGAAACCTACAGGATGACAATTTCCATGCTTCAGGAAAGTCGACATATGATTTTTGCGTTTTTCTATGCTTGAAGAAATCCACCGATAATGCTTTCCATGCTTGAGGAAAGCCGACAAAGGAATTTGGCGGTTTTCTATGCTTGAAGAAATCCACCGGATAATACTTTCCATGCTTGAGGAAAGTCGACAGATGAGGAGATTGCAAGTCTCTGTGTATCAAGAACCTTGCGTCATGAAATGATGGTGGTTCGATTATCCCCGAACGTGGGCTGTAGATGGTTCGCTTGTCCCCGAACGTGGGCTGCAGATGGTCCGCTTGTCCCCGGACGTGGGCTGTAGATGGTCCGCTTGTCCCCGAACGTGGGCTGTAGATGGTCCGCTTGTCCCCGGACGTGGGCTAGTTGTAAATGGTCCGCTTGTCCCCGGAAGTGGGTTGTAGATGGTCCGCTTGTCCCCGGACGTGGGCTGGTTGTAAATGGTCCTCTTGTCCCCGGACGTGGGCTGTAGATGGTTCGCTTGTCCCCAGACGTGGGCTGTAATTGAGACCTGCAAAATAAAATTTGCCAAGGGACTCGTATAGACTATGATTGACATGACCAACTAACTTGACCAAGTTTGACATGACATAACATGACATGTGTATGACTTGTGATTGTGTGTGTATAGTTTGAGTGTGTGTGTGTGCAGACACAAGCAACCGAAAATGCAAAAGCAAAAAAAATTCCGTCATTTTTGTCATGAGACGAGTGGAGGGTACTGACTTTCTCCCGAAAAAGAAAGACGTGAAAAATGAAGATTTGTTTTCGAACTTCCCTCGATGAGAAAATTTTGAAAATGTTTATTGAACTTCCTTACAAGGAAAAACATGAAAAAGAGAAGAAGTTTTGAACTTCCTCGTTAAGAAAGACAAAATGAATCGTACGGTTTGAATTGCTTGTCTTGAATATAATGTATGCATGATGCATGTCCATCATGTAACACGATAGATGAATGAACTTAGGTCATGGAGCTAAGCATCATATATGGTGTAAAGAAACGATCTTGAACGTCACTTAGGTCTAGAAGCTAAGCACGTACATAGATGAAGTGATTATGAATGTTGCTTAGGTCAGGGAGCTAAGCACGATATGCTTTGTATGATTAAAAAA